ACTCTTATTTGTATAACGGAGACTCTACATTAGATAAAGTGTTAAAATTCATAATTAGTGACTTAGAATTACTTGCTACAAATGAGAATATTTTGATGAATTTTGGTTAAGACAATTAATGTACAAATCAGTTAAATTTGTAATACAAGAATGTATATGATTCATGTGTTATTGCCTTGCTTGTCTAAGGCTACTAAGTCTTTCAAACACTACTGTAAGTTACGTTCAATATGCGTGTGCATGTGTATATGTACATTGTATTTTATTTATACAAAATAAGTTCATACAAATGTTACATAGATATATAATAATTATATACTTAATAAAAAATAATAAGAAATTATTTGTGTATAATAAGGCGATTTTTGTAATATTTAACTATAAGTTGATATATTAACCATTTCCCTTGAGTTTGTTTACTACAAACAAAAAAATTACAATAATATAAAATGATTTTTTGATATATAAAAATATTAAATATATCAAATGTGTAATATTAATAAAAAAATAATTTGAGAATAATAAAATCTGTAATGAATTTATAAAATACTTACTAAAATTATACAAGAAATTTATGTCAGAAAATGTTAAATAAATGCAATAATAAGTATGAGTAATAAATTACAATAATTCATAATAAATTTAATTTGAAAATAAAATATTTTATTTGAAATATAAATATTTAATACAATATAATATTGAAATATTTCATAACTAAGCTAGTTTTTAAATTATAACTGAACATAAAAAAATGAATTGTTTTAATTTATATTTAATTTTATAGAAAATATAACAGAATTATGAGCAATAGTAATTATTTTCAATTAAAAAAGAAATTACAAATTATTATTTTTTGTATAGATTATTTTGCAATAAATAAAAAATCTTAAAGATTAATGGAAGATTAATTAAGCAAACTGAATAAATGCATCCCTTTTATTAATTTGGAATGTAGATGCTAACTTACACAAGTAAATTTTTGTACATAAATTAATTTAAATTTTTTGATTTGATGAAAATAAATACTCTTAATATCAGAATCATAAAATATTTTATCATTAAAGCAGTTATAATAAAACTTTAATGAGTTATATATTTATAATAAAAAAATTAGCGTTACTAACATAATTTAATATAAAATGTAAGGTTAAAAGAAGAAATTTAATATAATTTAAAATTAAACCACTTTCATTTTTGTAGAACGTATCCAAATATATCAATTTATTATAAAGATCGAATGGGATTTTTTAAACAAATATGTTCATGGTTTCATTTAAATAATCGAAATCAATACTGAAATAAACATTATGTTTTGACAATTTTTTAGAGAATATGAAAAATATAAAGCTTGCTAAATTATAACAATAAACTATTTTAATAATATTTAGAGAAAAATAAAGGTTTAAAATTATATTACAATATAATTTTAAATTACAATTATTATTATTACAATTATGTTTACAATATTACAATTTTAATAACTTTTTTAACAATTTATAAAACAAAGTAGAATATTGAATAGAAATTTATTAAATTATTTATTGAATCTATTCAAATGCAATTACAGTACGATTCTTCAAAATATAATTTGTTAAAAATAATCCAAAGGTCTTCCTTATTTTTTTATAAACTATTAAATAAGATTTTACATCAAATGGTATTTTAAATAATAATAGTAACAGTTAATTTTTAAAAATTCATACAAAATATTATTAAAAAATAGATAATTTATTTTATCGACTCAAATATATTTATAATTATATTTATGCAATCAGTTTAATTTATATCGTAATCTATAAATAGTTACTTTGTTACATAATATAAAAATATTACTATGAATATTTATTATATACGTCAATAATGCTATGAAAGAATATACGAATCAATTATTTAATCGTGGAAATCACTGTATGTAATGAATAGCTTTTCACTCACAAAAATATTTTTTCATTATAAATTTTAAATATAATAAAGTATACAATATATGTAAAATATATTCACAAGTTTCGAAGTAATAAAACGTTTATAATAGATAAATAAATAGAGTTATCACAATTAGATATTACTCTCAATTTAACATATATTTTACTACTAATTTAATGTAACGATCAATTGAATAAGATTATACATTTTATATTATTAATAAAACATAAAGAATATTAATATTTTCTGTAATTAATATAAAATTCAATTAAAAACGCAATTTTAGCGTATAGTTTTCTCTTTCACCTCTCTCTCCTTCTTTCTTTTTCTCTGTTCCTTCCTCTTTCTCTCTCTCTCTCTCTCTCTGTCTCTCTGTCATTCTTATTGTTTTAATATTTTAAATAATAATAATATTCTATGTATGTATTATATAATTTTACAATGTCAATATATATATATATATATATATATATATATATTGATAACAAATGTTTATGCATTGTTTTGAAATTCAGTTTTCTTTAACTTTGTTAATTTAATAATAAAAAAAATATAAAGTAAAGAAAATAAATCGCTTGTATGTTAAAAATCGACAAAAAATATAAGATTATCTTAATTTAATAGAACATATCTAGTAGAAATTGAGTATTTTATAAAAAATATTTATTTAAAATATATTTTCTTTTATTCATAGAAAATAATTAATACAAATAAGTATTTAAGCTCTATAGTTTTCATTTAAGACTTTGAAAAATATCGAATGTACTGAACAACAAAATAAAACATATGAAGATAAGAAAGCTTAGAACAAAATAATTTATAAATAGATATTTCTTCTAAATTTTTTGCCATACTATAAGAAGAAAAATATAATAAAAATATAATACGAAAAAAAGAAAAAGAAATAAAGCAGAATTATAAAATTGCACATAATTCACAATTTTAAGAATATTTATAAATATTGTTAGAGTGTATTTTCTTTAAAATTTAGAAGAGTATTTACAGATTACATAAGATTATAATCAAGCTTTCGCACATAAATATATGTAGCGTAAGGTCATTGAACAATCTTTTAAGAAGAGCCCATTAAAATAACAGGTGATTTTATGACGGTCTTACAGACGGTATTACGTTTTTTTTTTAAACAATGTTTCTTACGGCAGACGTTTATTAAATAGTAATTACGTAAAATTATTAGTATAGTTTAAAGAAAAAGAATAGAAACGGACGAGTAAAGTAAAAAAATGTTAAGTGGCAGGAGTAAAGGGAAGGGCAATAAAACACAATTAACGAGTTGCTCGAATCTGACTAACCAATAAGAAGTATCTGTTTATAGCTATGTATATGTTCAAATGATGCTATTTACAAGTAGTGTGCTTCGATCTCTCAGCCAATGACTTGCAAGATATAAAGCTTTCCAAATCGACACAGCTGTCCACATCACTCCATATTTTCTTGTTCATTGGTGCAACAGATTAATTCAAACATCTCTCTATTTTTATTTATGTTTATTTCATTTCATTAAACGATGCATAATACCATAATAAAATAGTGGATGTATGTTGTTTATAATTATTGGTTTAAATATAAAAATAGTTTCTACTGTGTATTATGTTTAGTATGCATCCCATAATAATAATAAAACCCATGATAATAAGTTATAACATGATGATATTTTTCTTGCAATAAATAAAATGTACAATCAAAAGTATATATATATATACATTCCTTATACCTATAAACACTTAAAGTTTATTATTCGGCAAAAATATTCAGATCGGCAGTATTTGAATTCTATTTTTATACAATATCTTTATATGTTAATTAAAAAAAATTGTGTAGCTCATTTTAATTATTCTTTGTTTATTATAATTTTACTGTATTCTTAAAAATAAATTATTATAATTCATACATTTAAATTTATTTATAAAAATATTGAAAATATTACATAATTAACAAATTTGAACCACTATTTTAAAGTCCGTCCTTTGTTAGAAAAAATGCAAATGAATTTATACGTAAATAAATAAATCAATGTTATTGCGATCAATATTTTTTTATAAAATATTGATCAATATATAATAATTTTACTAAAATTTTGTTTTTAGATTTAAAATTCAAACAATTGGGGCAAATATTTTGTCATAATAAGCATGAATATTGATATTTAAAAAAACTAATCATAAAAGTAATGAATGAATAAAATGAATATATTTTTGAATTTATATTTAGGATTTCATTACTTAAATTATTACAAGAAATAAAAAAAGTATGTTTCTTCAAAAGTATTATATAATAATAATAAAGTTATATTGTACAATAACAAATTTTCCTTGTAATATATATAAACAAATATTATTTAGATTAATTCATAATTCAACTTAAATTTAATAACTTGTTTTTTATTACTCATAAATATATATCGATGAATTATGAATCAGTTAAGTATATTTTAATTAAAAATAGTTTCAGATTCCTTTACGTCTAATAATACTAAATTATGAAAATAAATTCATAGAATAAAATCATAACAAATTGAATATTTTATTATAACATAACTAAATTATACTCACACGTGTATATTTAACATATAAATAAATGTATTTAAATACAATATCTAACATTTACAGTAATTGTGCAATAATTAATATGTATTTAGATAGTTTTTAAAATGAAATACAATTTGTTGATTATTATTTTAGATAGATTTGCTTCAGTAAAATGATTAAAGAAATTAATATTTATAATTAAATTAATTATATGCGATTAAAGAATAACAACAAAAACTAAGAATTTTAAAAAAAATATAAAGTGAAATGGTTTCTGTATTAAAAATAATACATTTGAAAATAAAATACAGAAAATAAACAAAAACTTCAACTATATAATGTATTTAAAAATGCACAAAAAGGGTATTTTGCTGTGGCTTACTTGCGTAAGATCTGTCACATACATTCTTGTCTACAGATCCATTACTTTACTCGTCAAGTTAAATGTGACAAAGAACACTTGCTAAAAACTGAAAAAGTGAATAAAAAGGTCAATAGATGGTACGAGGAAACGGGAGGGGAACTCACCAAATACTCTGTCCTTCCCGCTAATAGTGTTTGTTGTCTCATCGACGTTGACAAGACTCCGAATGCTAAAGACACTTTTGGCCACGCGCGTCTTCTGCAACTCGGCAACGTTTTCCGCCGGCCGGCGCGACGTAGTGCTTAAATCCATTCTGCTCCTGTATGCGTTCTATCTCACTCCCGAAACATATAGCTCACGATAGCTAGTGAGTTCACAGTGATGTTTTCCTATTATCATCCCTTCGCCATCCGTTTCATATACACATAATTTTTCGTTCACTATACTCTATTGGGCGAATAGTGAGATATATAAGCACATATAAATTCAACTCAGTGATGGTTTTCCTTTTGTGTCTACACTGATAAAATTAACGACAATTAAATAAACTAAACTAATTATAGTCCATTGAACTATTCTTAATACTTTCTAGCTGAGCATCTTATTATTAATGAGTTAGAATTCTTTGATTTGCGATGATGAGTTCTTCATCGGCGATGAGGCACTCGTATCATACTGTACTCTTCGCCATATTCATTAAGAACGTACAAAGATTCAAACAAAAGATCGCTCAGCAATTGCAAGAATTTGGTAGGAAATGTTAATGGTAGTAAATTCGAAGGGTAGTGCACAAGCTTAATTATTTTGAAAGAAAGAAGAGCGACCTAGTGACGGCGCGGCGATACAAGCACACACTAAGCGTTAAATGACGCTAGCGGATGGATGCATTCACCGGCAATACGCTTTTGCTTTGTACAGCGTGGAAGGGAGTTAGGCACCACCACCTCGATCTGAAACCCGCCCTCGACGTACAAAATGGAGCCGAGAACCACGCCTAAGCCACCCGCCTCTAAGCTGACATAAACTGTTCATAACTTGAAATATAATTTCCAATCAGACAAAATCTTCATGAATATTTTATATTACAACCTTATACTATCTCAACCTATATGTATACGAGAAAAGCTCAAGATTTTTGCCCGCTATTTACGCCAAATAAACGCTCTTGTTCTCATCTTCTAACCATTGTTAAATATACTTAAAAAATGTGCCTTTTTTCAATAAACATAGATTATTTAAAACTTAGAACCAATTAATGTTTTAAAATTTTAAATTATCATAAGATTGCTCATATTATATTTTTATTTCTTTATAAAAGATCTTTTTAATCTTTGAATTTGAACAATTTCACGTTATTGATTTATTTAAAAATATTAATAAACGTATAATATAACTATTATATATAAATTTATAAAATTACCAATATTCCTTAAACAATTTTGTTAATCCTACTATAAATCACTATTAAAAGCGATGATATAAATTATAATTACTTTTTTAATACAACTTACTTTATAATTATTTATTTAAGAAATTTCCTGTATAATTTTCTGTATAATCATTTTCTTATTTATTCAATCAGATATATTAAAAAATGTATAATATTTTATTTATTCAAAATTTTATTGTAACATTTAAAAAAAAAAATAGGCTTTGTCCATTTAACATATTTTTCATATTCTATTGTTACATTTAAAATGATGAAAATAATAATTAATGATGAATTACATACAAGAGATATTGAAAAAACTTTTATTTCATTAAATCATTAAAATACTTTAATAAATAAATTAATCATTATTTTTACATATTTTGATTTTTAATATATTGCAAATTATTTACAATTGCTAAACTAAACATTACTTTGATTTAATCAGTTAAACGTTGCATTTTTAGTATTGTTATCCTATTGACGCATTGCATCATTTATTTTCATATTTGTTCTTTGACATTTCGTGTATTTTTTTATTTTTATATTAATATTTACTTATATTATTTTTTCTTCATATGACAAGACCGAAACTAATCTTAACTTTTACAATAACTTATGCTATTAACATTTATAATACATAATTTATAATATAAAATAAAATAACGGTTTATAAATTTCAAAAAGTAAACAAAAAACGTTTTAATTCCGTGTTTTAATTAACAATCGTTCTATTCTTCATAAATCATAAATGGTATTATCTATGTTATATTTAAACATAAAATTTATTTCTAAGCTATTATAAACTTGCATTAGAATTCATATCGTAAGCTATATTTAATTTCTTCTAATCTCATTTACTGTTATATATGATAATAATAAAAATAATTAATGTATTTACACTATCATGATCATATTGTATCTTCAAAAATTTCCATATATTTTGTTAAGTATTAGTAATATTTAGTTATATATATTTTGGATAACATTATTTTGATTCAGTACAATATATACAACAAAGTTATACTGTATTTGCTTTTCCTTTCTATAAAATTTCTAAATTTAGCAATTTCACTTTGTTGTATTTTTGTGCTTTTGCTATATAATTTATTTACTTTTTTATTATATAAATGATTGCTTTACAAAAGATATTATTTATTAAATTTTTTTTGATAAATATTTTGATGAAGGAATTAAGTACTTAAATATCATTTTGAGTAAACCATAATTTCAATTTGATTATATCCATTGTTGGAAAATGTGCCTTTCCGTATTTTGAAATGTTATAAAAAAAAAACGCCAGACAAAACTATATAAATAATGACTTGTAAATAAGAACTGCGAATGCATAATAATATCCTATTGTATATTGTCATGAAATAATTTGTTCCCATGATTTCCCATTTTTTCTTTAGACTGCCTCAAGTAAATTACATAAAGTTCTGTTATTTCTTTATAATTTTATAATTTCGTAGTAAAGCTCATAATAAAAAATTCATTATCGTAAAAGAAAACTATAAATAATTTTAACAAAATATTTTTAACTTTATTCATACTTTTATTCATAGTCCATGTATTTATGTATCAATATAATATATTATCTGTAATTTTCTTAATCTTCTTGAAAGTGTTTGTTTTAATCATGATTATAACTTATTAATTTGGATGTAAAATTTAATAGATTATTAAAAAATTCTGTTCTCTTATGAATAATATGATCTGTTTTTAAGTATAACTTCATAAAAAATAATTCAAATTCATAAAATATTATCGATATTTTTATATTTGAATTAAAAAAAAGAATTAAATAAGCGATAGTTCACACTAAGTTCCTGATACAAATATGCAGCTTTTTAAAAAATCTAAACAAAATTAACTTTACAAAATTTATCATATTTAATACATACACACATAAAAGACATTATCGCAAAAACTGGTTCATTCGACTAATTTCTAGGAAAGAACATGACAATGTATTATTTTTAAAAATTGTATGAATAAAATTGTACATTTATTCTGATTCATATATTCTCTATATATTAATATACTAAATAATTAAAATATATTATGAATTAAAATTATAAACAATGTTTAAAAAAATTATTTTTAACTTTCTATTTCATATTTTAGTAATTATTTATTTATAATATATTATTTATTTGTAATATATTTGTTACAATTACTTATTATGGTATAATTATTTTCATTCATTTGTTGATTTCACTTCGGGATATAATAAATAGTGTATTATTCTACAGAAATAATAAGTTTTACAACAGTTTCTGTTATTAAAAGAATCAATATTATTTTTATAAATATCAGTATTATAAGTTGTTACAATAATTTAGCAAATTATACTAATCTGATCAAATAACAGTTAATAAGAAAAAAGTTAAATAAAAAATATAAAGTTAAAGTTATATATTCATAATTTATAAGTTTAATATGAATTTTGTATGCATTTATTTTTTTGTTTAGAAATTGAAAATATTTTCTATATTAATTGTAAAATATACTTGTTTATAATCACAAAACATGATAAACCTATAAATAAACTCAATAAACTAATTAAATATATAAATCAGCATGCTAAAATAACTCCAAATACTGAAGTGTATAATTTCCACAGTTTTTTATTCACAATTACAAATTCATTTGAATCCAAAATTTTTTTACGCTAAAGAACAACACTAGCTTTTCAAAATCTCGCTTTATTTCGACAAAATGTTAAAAGAATAATATTAATATAATTTAAATACTATATATTTATTACTTATTTGTATATAAATATATTTATATATATTTATTATTAATTAGTAAAATATATATCATTAATTATAATTAAAACTATGTGTAATGCACATAAATATCATTAGTCAAAATACATATCATTATATATAGGTTCCCTTTATATGTTCACATTAATTTTATTAAAAATAGTTATAATTACTTTAAGTAGGTAAATAGGTTTAAATCATCCATACTCTATTTTTCTGGACTAATCCAAATGCTGTTTGCTATAAAATATTTTGGATTACTAGAGTCTGTTCTGCACTAAGTGATTACTTAAGCGACTATCAATACCTGCACATACTTATAAGTACAGATATACAGATGGGTAACATATAATAAGCATGGCTGATGATAAGACAATAAAATTGAGTCATGTATTTTACTTGACTCGTAATTACACACAAACACTTATACAGTAAAAATGCGTTATTTTATGTATTAGCTTTTAATTACAGGATGAGTTATTTCCAGATTCATGTTAAAGATAAAATAAACATCTAATTTATACAACATTTTCTATTTTAATAATCAAAATTAAAATTCATTTTGTTTTAAAAATTAACAAAAAAATATTGAACCATAAAATAAAATTCTATAAATTGAATATCAATACGACGATAGTTATATTTTTTGCACCCAAGAGCCGATAAGATAAATTAAAAAAAATTAATGTTACAATAATTAATATTTAGAATATCTATTTTGTAAATTTTATAATTCAGTATAAAATTAAATATGAGGTATGTATTATGAAATATAAAATATAGAAATCGATTTAAATTTATTATCTCGACATATATATAATTTATAAAAAAATGTAAACTTCTAGAATGCATAGTTAATACAAAAAGAAACATTCAATCATAGAATATCAACTTGTTCATTCGTTATTACAATATAAAAAATGAAGATTAAAATTACTATAATAAAGCAACGATCATCTAAATTCAAATTAAAAAATGAATTAAGTTAAAGTAATTATTATTTTGAAAAATTGTAGGAATTGATGAACAAAGCTAGCAAAGAATATTATTTTATAGCTTCAATAAAATATAAATTAATTCATTAAAATACTAATATTTTATTAAAAATTATAATTTTTACTCCGATATCGTAATTTAATTAAAATAGTTTTTCTCGTACAATGGCATAAATATAAAGATTACAATTTCGAAAGAAGATACAAAATTTCAATGAATATTAGAAAGAAGAGTCAACAATTAGAAAAAAATATTTATTTTTATATAAACACAAGTGTGACTTAAAAATTGATATATTACCTCAATTATAAAATATAAAATTTATGGGTTGATAAAATATTTACATTAAAATTCAAACAGACTATCTATAGTTATAAAGCCATGTTATATATCCGCAAAACACTAATTATCATATGAAATATTCTGTTAGTATAGAAAAAAATTATTACTGCCAAATATTAATAATATTCGGATAATAGCAACAACAATATTAGCAACAATAACGTTAGAAAAATAGATCAATAGAAAAAAAACCTTAACATCATGAAGTCATTGAATGATAATCGAACATTTTACTGATTATCAATGGAAGTAAGAAACTAATAAAATGAAACAAGATATTCTATAAATAATATTTCCAGACTTTGACAAATTTGAATAAAAAAAACTGTATTATATTAGCAAATTAAAATAACTGCTTTTGTCATATAATATTTAAACAAATCTTTGTATCAACCTATTAAATAATCTTTATTCATAAATAAGGTAAGTGGTCTCTTATTTCTTAATTATAATGAATACAATATAAAGATGGTTATTATAAGTTCGAAATTTCTATTAATATGGCCATAAAATAATTTTTTATTTTTTATTAATTGTTATAGCATTATAGAAATAAAAATGACTAAAGTACTAATGACTAGATCAGTGTAATATCGCATTAAACACTTTTCATAATTAAATACTTTTCTATCGTATCAATACACTAGCTACTCTATATTCATTGTATGTAATTGCAGTAATTAAATTCAATTAATATATTTCATTTTCTTATATATTTTCGAATCAAGTTTATTTTAAATTTACTTTAAAGAATATCCCATTGATGAAATATAATTATTGAAGTTGAACAAATTCATTTTTCATTAATAAGCCTAAGTGCAATTGAAATAAGAATAATAGAATATATACATATATAAATAAAAGTTTTTTGTTTTTAATGAGTATTATTTATTAAATCATCTTATAACCAATTACAGATTCAAAATATATTCCTATATATTACCACAAATACAAATCATTATATTTATAATTATAATTTATAAAATAAAATAATTTATTTAAAAATATAAAATAAAATCGGCAATTATACTGGTTAACAAAAATATATTTGAAAAAAATTTTTATTTAAAAAATATAAAAAATAATTCTAATAACTTGTTTTTATTAACTATATGCATAATCAAATAATAATTAAATCAATTTAAGTTTTGATGAACAATATTTAAAAAAATTAATCTCATTAATTTGTACGCGTTCGCGCGCATACTATAAAGTGCTATATACTATAAATGTATTTCAAAACCGTCCAGTATAGTATCTTAATGTAATTTCATAATCTCACTGTACTCAATACAAATTAATAATATGCTTTTATGATTTTCTAAATTTCGTAAATCATAATGACTTTTGTTTACAATATTAGAAGAGAAATATAATAAAATAATAAATATATAATCATAATTAATTTATTTTAAAAATAATATTTTATAATATATTATGTTTATATAGTTTCATTATATATATATATATATATATATATATAATATAAAATATAATTTCATTATATATAATATTTATATAGTTTCATCCATATGGCTTAAAATTATAGAAAACTAATTATTTTATTATAATATCGTTATATAATTGATCGTTTTTTACTATTACACTTAATGATACTATAATATGTCTTTACTATTATGAAATTTTATTTTCTTATACGCATGGGTTGCACTATATCAACAAATATTTATGTCAATAGTTTTTATATAGTATTTTATATTCTTTCTTCTAAATTTATATTCTTGATTCTTTTCTCAAATTAAGTAGTCTAATAGATTAAATAGGAATAATAATATTTAATTAATACATATTTTTTATATAAGAATATTGAATTTTATTAATTATCATATGAGCATATATATTTTTTCAACAGATCCTTAGATGAATTTAATACATCAGTTTTCAGGAATATAAGAATTTAAAACGTCTGAATAATTTTAAATTTCCATGGAATAAAAAAACACATATTGGTACATTAAATATACAACATAATAATTATACATTGATAATAATATAAATGTATTCTAGTTAAAACAAATTAATAAATATGAATTTTCTAACAATAAGTTTTATTTATTTAATCACTATATAATTTGATCTTTAAACATATTTTATTTAAAATTGAAAATAAAATAAAATAAATGACAGTAGATGAAATAGAATTAATATATTCTTTTAATTAAAACTTAGGAACTATGATAGTAGCTTAAAAGAACGTATAATATTGTACATTTTATTACAATATATTTTCAGTAGCAGTACAATAAGTTCAAAATTTATATTTGTAAGATTTTTACATATTTTAAAAAATTTAGTACAATTTTAAATATAGTTTTATTATTAATTTAAAATTAATGTTAATTTTTATAAACCTTTTTATTTATCATATTATACATCATATTCTAGTATTTATGAACTATTTATTCAATAAAATTATTAAATTTAAATAATTAAATTTTTTTTTTTTAAATATAGCATTTTAAATTTTACATTACATTTGTGAAATAATTTCTAAAAGCAACTAATTTTTAAAAACCTTTTAAAATAAAAATTTTTTGTAGTATTTGCATAGTCTGAGATTTGGAGATCTATAAGTTAATATTTAACAATATATTTTGTTTAAATAATTTTGATTACTTATTCCAAAAAAAAATGTTTACATTTGAAGTAGTATATTTTTCTATAGATTGACAATAATCAATTTGAAAACTATAGTTAATATTTTAGATAGAATGATAAACTATTACCGAATTATTCTTTAAATAATGAAAGTTCATTTATCATTTTTAAAAATATATTTTTAGGTAATAAAAAAAAGAGTGATTATAAAAAGAACATATAATCAATTAAATTTTTATGAAAATTTTAATCAATTAAAAACATTACTTTCAAACTTTTGATGAAATTCTAGTTTTCAAAATTAAATATTTAAGTATAAACGTTTTTAATACACCATTAAAAATAAAAATTTTATTTTATAACATTTGTGACTAAGTAAACATTTGATTGTTAATTTTTGTCGAAACTGAAGTGTGTAAAGACGAGCGAGTTTGATGAAACACCAGTAATTCAGCAACTGTAATAGCGACTCGAACGACACCACGACCTCCTTCAAGAATATCGCTAGCACAGCACATTAGATTCTAAAAAAAGACAAAGAAATAAGAATTCAAGTACCCTTTAAAAAAATTATACCTAAATTTCTTAATACTCTCTTTTAACATCGATATCAATAAAACTTGTTATTTTTTAAAATAAAATATTTATATAACTAAAATTATCAGTTAATAAATATTTAAAAATAGCTTTATAAGAAATATTATATTTTTACTGTATTTTATGGTATAGTAATACTATTAGAATATGAATAAGACCAAATTATTTATTTAGCTATTTACATTTTAAAATATACAAGAAACGTTATTTGCTCTAAATAAATGTAGTGCAAATTTTGTATTAAATTTTAACTTTTTTTTTTAAATTGAAAACTATAAATAATAATTTATTATAATTTATTTGACATCAAAGTATAATGTATTTAATAAATACGTGCATTAAAAATTAAAAAATAAAAATTTTACAAAGAATTCTTGTAAAATAAACTGTTATGTATAAATGATATATACAATCACAGGTTATTATCTTAGTTTATCAAAAAGTTATTAAAATTATATATATATTTTCTACTTTATAAAAGTAAATAACATTTTGCTAATTATTTATTATATTATTATAATAATTATTAATATATTACGATTTAACTACACGTATAACTAATACAATTTTATATTAGTAGATAATCAGTGCATTACATTTCACATTATTTACATGTATATAATAAATATTAATTATATTGGTTTATTAAATGGCATCGATAAAAATCAAATTTTAAACTTTATTTAAATTCTATCAAAAATGAAATAAAACAATATTATTTACAAAAATATTAAAATGATTTAAGACATGAAAAATATAGCTATAATTTATTTCAATTTCTACATAAAAATATTTATATAAAAATAAAATTATTTGCTTAAATTAACTTTCAAATAATTTTTAGTTTAACAGCATTTGAATTAAGTATTTTTTCCTCGCTATAAGTTAATACAGATAGTTGTAATTATAAGGTTTATACAATTTATATAATTATTTATTTAAAACGAATGAAATAAATTATATAAAAAAAATTTTTAAGTTTCTTTTTAATTCTCATTTATATGTATAAATTTTCCAAATATGAAAGATATAATAAAAATCACTTTTATTAAATTATTATAAATAAAATTAACTTTGAAAATTTCACTGGTGAATATATACATATATCTATATGGTTCAACTGCTAAAAACTAGAGAAGCTATTGTACTAAGATGTTATATACTAAGATATTATAAAAAAATATATAAAAAATTATATTCTAATAAATAAAGAAGTAACAATTGTATGTTTCTTTTTTATCTTAGCTTTTATCAAAATACAAGATAGATTATGTGTCTTACACAATTGAATATTCATCTCCAGCTTGATTTCGGGTTAGTCATCAATATTTATAATTTATTTTATTTTTATTTTAGATATAAAACTGGTTTTTATATACTATTTTTAAACTTCTTTTAATCAGGAATTGGATAGAAATACAGCAGAATCAAAGTGGAAATGAATGTAGTAAAAAGCACTATACAAAGAGTGTGATCTTCAATCATTCGTATTGAACCTGCATTCAGTTCTTGAAAATTATCTTCTGTATTAAGAATTAATGCGGAAACGATACGACCAAGTGCTTCCAGCCCATAAATTTCCATATAACCCACATCCATGATTGCATCCGCATCCATTAACACCTCCTGTAACCAACAGCGATACTACTCAGTCCCGTGATTTGATAATTTGTTATCATATGCTTCTTATTATGTAATTACATTGAAATACATAAATAATGTGCGCTATTATTTTTAACAAATTAAATATGCTGTACTTTTTTAATTAAATAATAAAATTATATTTTTGAAGATCGATCTTTCTTAATTAAAAACGTTACTTCTATAAAATTGTTAAAAAAAGATTTGAGATAGAATTAGTTAATAACTTTACTATCTATTGTATTTTTTCATAAGACAATTTATTTCAAAATGAATTTATATTTAAAATCCGAGTAATTCAAAATTATATTCCATTTAAATATAAAAAATAACCGATATTTAATTAATTAATAAAGCAGAACATAATTGATAATTTCAAAAATTTAATCATTAACTAGACACATAAACATTCACTATTCTTTAAAATTTATGTGTCAATATTGATTTTTGTTAATAAATATAAATTTTTGTACAAATATTTAAGTAGCTTAGCTGAGATCATTTTAGAATTAAATTAGAAAATTATTTTCTACAAAAATCATTTTCTGATAATTTTACATAATTTTTTTAATTGAAAGCAACACAAAAGCAATATTAAATACAAGCACATGCAAAGAAATTTTTTGTTTTCAAAGAATGAGATCGACCCTTCAACCATTAATTATTTTTCGTAATGTTTAATAACTTTTAATCCACCCATTATTAAAAAACATTGATTACATTATAATTAAAACCGACTATAAGTAGGGACTGACTAGTAGTTGTTGGATACATCATTTTATATAATGGATTAAATATTATAAATGTCAGGTTCAAATATTTTACAATCCATTAGAGATAAAGTAATGAATAAATATAATTAAAAAAATATAAAATAATTTCCTTAAATTTTTATCTTTTCCAGTATTGATTTGTATTTTTGTTACTTACCTCTTGAAATTACATAAAAATAGTACTATATTGTAAAATATTAATTTTGCTTTATATATTATTTAATTATAAATATTATCAAAACATAGTATAAAAAATTACGATTTATTATTAAATTACGGTTATTTATGAATAAATCATAATCTAGAAAATTTGTAAATAGTAATAATCATGCAAGAAAAAATTATTGATATAATACATTCTAGGAAGCACATAATTATTATCAATAAAATTTTACCCCATTGACACCAATTTGTCTGCAAGCTTCTAAGAAATTATCTACGTTTCTTCTACATCTTGCCATTGTAAGTTTAGGCTAAAATCATAAGTTATTAATTTATTTAATACTTTGGATTCAAGTCAGTAATATTGTAACTTACAACTGCTGGTGATGGTACATGAATACTTGCTACTGATCGAGGTCTAACATGATTTGCTAAATGACAAAGAACTACACCATCTGCTAATGCAGGAGCCAAATTTTCAGGAAGAGCCATTTTTAATCTTGTTTCTATTTGCTATAAAATATTTAAAATATATAATTTAATTTCATACTATTATATTTAGTTTTATATTACAAATATTTCTATTGCTTAAAAATAATATTTACATTTCGTAATTGTTTAATTAAATCAGCTTCTTCCTTGGCACGCTCAAATTCCCTTTTCATAGTAAATGAATACTTTTCGGAAGAATTTATATTCCAAGTAATATTACAAGAATTCGAACTGGGATAATTTCTATTTACGCCTATCAAAAATAAAAATGTATTAAACTCAAAATTTACAATTATTAAATTACAATCATCTTTAAATTTTTCAATATCTTGTGCAAACAAAAAATTTGTACAATAACTATTTAATTTTTTAACTAATTTTTATACTGTTATCTAATGATTTCATATTCAATAAAGGAAAAAGGTTAATTTGATTAAGTTTTAGTTTAATCAACCTTCAACTTTAATAATTTCAATATGAACAACTCCCTTTATATTAAAAAAAATATTTTATATGCCATATGCTGTCCTTATATATAGTATATGCTGCTTACTAAAACTTCAATCACTTTGGAAACTTAATAAATCAATAATTCAAAATCTGTAATTTTTTAAAAATGTTTTATTTATACAAATTATTCTTAAAGATTCATTAAGAATTACCATTGAAACACAATAAAAAAAAGATTAAATAACTAAACTTTTATGCTCAAAATCATAATAAAAAAAAAATTTAATTCATTCAATTATAGAAATTCCAAATAAACTATTTTTATTTCAAAGTTTATTTAAATTATATATGAATTAGTATTATTCGTTTCAAATTAAACATGCAAAAAAGTTTAAAATTTTCAGAACAATAAAAGCTATTAAATATACAATAATGTTATTGTAATCTCACAATCCAATTGAAAAGGATTGTGAAAAAGAAATTTTTTAATATCTACTGATACTGTTTCTGAAATTGTTTTTAAAAAACTCAATTGTAATTAGCATATACAAAATCTATATTAAGAATTTGAAAAGAAGCATCTAAACTCCAGTTTTATATTGTTTAAAAAATAAATTAAATACCTATCTTTAAATAAATCAATGAAAAAATATTGGTTAACAATATATTTAGAATATCACATTCTTGATTCAATGTATTAAGATAATTTAAGAATTACTTTCCACATGTCCCACTGTTGCTTTCACAAACTTCGGTACACAGTCAGAATTTACATTTCCAAATAAAATACTGCTGGATTTTTTTATTGGTGCACATGGTTTATTATATAGTGTTTCATAATTTTCACTTTGATTACCATTAATATTGGTATTATTTGGAAAATTAATTCGAGAGGGAGTTACTTTATGTACTGGCCTTTTATTTGCATTCTCTTCATTGAAAATTTGTTTACCAGATAAGACAATAGTACTAGATGAATACGTTCCATCACTTTGAGCACGACTACCATATTGTGTTATTTGTTCCTTAGATTTATATACATTTAGACCTTCATTTACTCTTTGTTGTCTTAAGGCTTCTTTATATTCTCTATAAAGAAAATCCAAAATGTTATTACCTTTTATATAACTATATAAATTAACTATAATTATAAATATAATATAATTAAAAGTCAATTAAAAATTAGATAATGATAAGCCGGGTTTCAAACTAAAATATAATACAAACAAAGGAGTTTGATATAGTAGATATAAAAAACAAATATAATTACTTGTATGTCTGAATATGATTCAGGGTCCTTCTTTTTTCCCCATTAACAAGTGGTAATGATCGTTGAATTTGTGATATAGTTTTGATCGAAGTACTTTGTTCTGGAGTTTCTAATCTTGAAGTTTCCACCTGACTGTAAGATATACAAAAATAAAATGCAATAATTATGTCAAGAATTTTATAAATTTAATACTACCAAAAGCTATGAAAACTTAATGTTCTGTATATGATATAAAAGAAGAAAATTGCATTGCCTAATTACTTACGCAATTTTAATAAAAAAGAATACCTTATAGGTGTTATTGATATTTGATGAATTGTTAATAAAGATTTTTCAAAATCACTTCCATCTTCAGAAATACCTTGTTCTAATTTTTTTTTTCCCATCTGATCTTGAAATATGGTCTATAAAACGTATAATAAATTCTTTTTGTACATTTAAAATAAATGTCTAAATTCATAAAAAAATATCTTTATTAATACAATATTATTATATTTAGAAATTCTTGGAGATTTTCTTCAAGTCCATAACTTACATTGATACTTAAACATAATGAGTTAAATCAGTAGTTACATACAAATTAAATTAATAGAAATCTAAGAGCGATTTTCATACAATAAAGACAACAAATTCTTTAATGTACAAGTTATATATAAAAAATTAACCTTTCCTAAGTCATCTTCTAAAGATGAATTTTCTCCAGGAGATATTGTACTAGGTGTTGAAGTACCACTACAAGGACCATTAATCTCAGTTTCATGTGAAAGAGTAATAGAAAGTGGTAAACATTCTTTTTGAAAAATACCATGAACTTCACAACCGTGAGTCTGTAAGCAAGAATGAAGAATCATGGTGGATACGATTAATGAATATAATAAGGTTTCATATACATAATTGTATACACAATTCATATATATTTTATTTTAAACATTTATCTATTATAATGCAGTAATTGAACACAATACTAGAAAATTTATTTTACTATTATTATACAACTTTTTATTACTACACACCACATACATACAACCTTATACAATTCAAATATGAAAATAAATTATAATTTATAAATTTTAAATCTATAAATTTAATCATTTTATTCATTCATATATTTTATTGAACAAATTAATGCTGGAATAGTTGACAGGTAGATAAACTCCAGATCCTTTAAGCAAGTAAAAAAATGAATATTAAAGTAATAAGACTAACCATATTATTAAATTCTTGAGACCAACGTTTATCAAACACATCGCTTGTATTATAACCACTGTCAATATTACATCGCCGATGTGAGCGCGTACCTAATGTTGCATGCCCTCTTGTTTCAAAAGGACTTCGTCTTATGCGCCCACTTCGAGTTCGTTCATGTTTTACTGCTTGTCTCTCCAGGTACTTAAAAATGTGTGTTCGTCCGCGTGTACACAACTAAAATGTAATTTCATTCCAATTATTCAATACTTGATTAAAAAAATAGTCATTTGTTATCTATATTTTAAAATTCTGATATTTATAATGATTTTCATTAAAATTCTTGAAATCTTAACTTATTAATAAACCATCAATAATTTGTAGTTTGTAGAAGTATATAATTGTTTCTTAAACAAAAATATATTTAATTAATTTTCAACTTTTAATTCTTATAAACTTATTTCAATTTCCTATAGTTAAATTAAATATTTACTAAATAATTGAATTATAAAAACAAAATAGGGAATAAAATTAGTTTAATTAAAACAATAATCTTTTTATCATATCGAGACATATTTTTTTAATATACAAACGACTACGCAAGACTATAGTTCAAATTGATGGTTTTTCTTCCTTGTATTAATCAGTACAAGGTATATTTATTGAATTGATAATAGTTTCATTCAATGTTTAATATACAGCTTGATTGATGAAAATCATTAATTTAAGGTTATTAAATCTTTACAATAATAAAATAAATAGAATTAAATTTATATTATTTATAATAACAACCAATTTTATATAAAATGTATATTTGTATATCATTTATTGATTATTGACAAATCTCTAGTTTAATACCAATCATAGATATATACATAGATATATACATATATTTTTGAAGGAGCTTATCAATGATTTCAATTTAACTCTTACTATTGAAGTAATTCACTGTTACAGATATGTTCGGATTAATCCTTGCTATCTGTGTTAATGATTAGTTATAAAAAATATCAAGTTATTAATATTGATGTACCTAGCATATCTGACTTTACATTGTTATTTAACGGGCTTACATATTACAGGTTTTAGTATTAAAAATTTTTTATTTCTTTAGTTCTTACCCTTTGAGTTTACTAAACTCAATTACTTAGATTTATTTGTTGAATTTATAGATTTAGCAATGCAATTACAGTATATAAATCAATGTAGTAAATATTTATTTAAGTTTCATGTAAAAATGTGTATCACACAATGCTATAATTTTTTTCTAAATAAGTTTAATACATTTTGTGTCAAAATTTAGTAATTTTCAAAATTAATTTTTTAACGAATTATCATAGCACTGTGTTTACTGTAGAATCAAATACGTTCTAAGAAAACACCGTTATATTTTAAGTTTTTACATCCTGTTTCCTATCTGCTTTTATTAGGCTAATTAAAAAATATAAGTTCATAACTAATTTAATAATGAAACTTTACAAAAAATGTATTATACTACTAAATTCCCGTTTTTTTAATTTTCGATTTAGGAAACTTTTCGATTAAATCTCATGCTCATTAATTATTTGTTTACTAAAAAATATATGAATTTAATACAGTAAAAAAAATATTTAAACTTTATAATACTTTTAATAATCTCAAGTTACTACAAAATATTGATACAGTAGCATAATTTACACTCGATCTAAATTACGTATCACTTTACTTAAACTTTAACAAATTTAAATTTCATTTCTTTTATAAAAAAATACCATTATCTGAATAACCTCGGAAAAGTCATTTCTCTTTTCTTTATCCACGTGACTGCCAATATTAGGCTATGAACGGTTGAAAAAATTTATTCATGTGCCATAAACGAAAATATTCTATCTATGACTGAGTCGAAATAGTAATGCAATTGGCATTTGATAATTGTATTTCCATTTTTATAATTTATCAACAATAAACTACGTAACAATTATAGTATTCCTTGCTTTTCTTAATAATTAAATATATTATAGCGACTAACTACATTAATTATTTTAATTCTATACTCGTTTTAATTATTCTATAATTGTATATTCTTACAGTCATTTTCGGTATTTCTATAAAAATAATAAATAATTACAATATAAATATTTAAAAATACTATCAGATTTTAACCGTTTACTAAATCATTTGAAGGATTCAATGTAGATAATGTTTTAATTGTATTATTTACTTCTGAGAAATATATTAGTATATGAGTTTTCCATTGATTAGCTACTAAATAATGCTATTTATTAAAATAGTAGTTCAATTTATGATTTAAAATACTATTTTTTATTTAATAATTCTATAGATCACTTGAAAGTTGGCACTTAAATCCATAGGTCTTCACATCCTTATCCATCGGTAATGTCCTTATTAATTTTTTTATTTAGTTATTCCGTTTTTAATTTCTCTTTCTCACCTTTTAAAGATATTAAATATTTGTATATAAATTCCTCTATATTACGTACTTTATACGTACATCGTACTTATCATACTCTACGTACGTCGTAGCAACATCCGGAATGTTAGACCGTATATTTTTAATAAGTAAACAATAGAATTCTCGAAAAATTGTCACGAATGATTAAAATTTGAGAGGCTAAGATATTGTTGTAGAGATTCTACATAATTAATTTCCATTTATTATATATGATTTATTTTTAGTTATTATGGAAATAATATAAAATAACAAAACTACTGAATAACAAAAAATTAAAAAAATTAACTTAACACCAATTATAATCAACAAAAATTTTAGTATTTTCTAAAATCCTGGAATTCTTCTTTACTTTATATTGACTTTATATTGATTTTAAATCAATATTATCCATCTTTATGTATTTTTTAATACATAGATATATATCATTTTTATTATAAATATTTCTATAGATTATATACATAGTGTTATTATTATATTTCTTTCATTTTTAATTTTTTCCTTAATTCTTAAATTTATTTTGTTTCGAAATATTTCCATGTATATTTTTTTAATTATTTATAATTTATAACTGTCATTTATAATAATTATAATGAACCATTAATAGTAGATGTTGATCAATCAGTAATCGTAGTATTCGATTTAAAAGATTTACATTTTTATTATTATTATATATTTAATTAAACATTAAATAATTTCTTGATATGATAAACAAAAAAAATTTTTAAGTGATTTATTTAAGATAAAATAACATATATCTACATTGAATTGTAATATCAATATGAAGAAAATCAAACTATCAGAATCTATTATTACTAATTATTTTTGCCGTTTTATCAACTGATGCAATATCTAGTTATACTATTGGCACATTTAAAACGATTCAACTATCAAGTAGATCTATTATCTACTATTTTAAAGTTCATAAATCATATATTTGTTGACAGTTTTAATAATCTTTAGTCTTTTTTATATTTAATAAAATATCTTGGAATGTCAATAAATTCTTGCAGATTTAGCATTAATAGTATTTATTAAATTTTTTAATTATTACGTTTTTAACCAAATTGTTAAATTTATTTGTACGATTTTTTAATTTCATCAAATATTGTCATTAAAAACCTATTATTTAAAAAAATTTTTTTTGATGGTCATTAAAGTTCATAATTTAATTAAGTTTTAAAAAAATATAAAATATAATTATAATTATATATCAATCAATACATTGTGTAAATAAATTTTATGAAAATTTGTAAATAAATAATCATATAATTTTTAATCAAGAAACAAACTAATACGTGTATAAAATATTGTTATAAAATAATACACGTATTTAACAGAAATTTAGAACAATGTATATTTAATAAGCTGTTTTCGGTATATAATCTTATAAGTAAAAAGTACATTATTACCGTTGCAGGTGGTGAAGTCAATGGATTATCTAAAAGTTGAAGGTCCACCAAACTCTTCATTTTTCTAAGTTCATTAGGTAAAATAGATATTCGATTTCCACTAATATCGAGTTTTACCAGTTTTAAGTATGTCAATTCTAAATAGAAGAAACCCAAAAGATAAAAATGCAATATAAATACATTAAAAATGAAGTTCTATATCAAATATTAAATAGTATACAGAGCTTTATATATTTATATATTTAATAAATAGTATTAGCTTACAAAACTCAAAATAAAAATAATTTGTAAATAATAAAATGAAAAATTAAATATTAACTTTATTTTCATTATGTTGAGATCGGATGAAAAACCAAGACATCAATTCATTTCATTTAATTAAAGAAGTCAACCATTGATATAGTAAGACTAAACAATCTAGTTCTGTCGGTTACAGAGAAAAACTACTTTTGGCAAAGTTCAATATAACCAAACAATCTAATAAATAATTTAAATAAATATATGAACATCATATTCATACTTCTAATATCACTTTGAAATGTATTGCTTCCTGCAAAGTATATAAAATGTTTAATTTATCAAACGTGAGAGAATAAGATACCCAAATGGAACGTACCAATTTTTATATTTGCACTAAAAGATCAACCAGGAAGGCTATAATTGACCACTTTAAAAATTCTGTGTAAATCGAGTATCTAGTATGACTTATCGTTTTTGATATAAAAATACTTGTAAAAAAAGACAAAAAGAAAAATACCTTGGTAATCACCTGCTAACAACTATCCATTTGCATGACATGTTCTGACAGAACAGCCCGATGTTCAAGTATATTAACTAAGATTAAGACCACGTTTAGTTCTTTAAAAATTCAAAACTATGATTTGGTTACATAAAAATATGCCGACAGTTTACGAACATTGATAAATTTGAATTGTCATAACTCTAAAAAGAAATAGAAAGCTTAAACTTAGTTTTTCATTATACAGTTTAATATAATTCTAATTTTGATGTGCTGTATATTATGCTGTTTTCAAAAGAGCATTTACCCTATAAAATATCCCAATAATCACAATGAAAAAAAACTTAAAATTAAGAGTCTATATATATATATATATATATATATATATATATTCAATACTATTAAAACTTGGAGTTTTTTTTAAATCTAAAACAAACTGCAAAACAAGACTACCAGCTTACATATAATATTTTTATTATAATACACAACAAATACAGTTTTACAGTAGTCTCAATTTTTTTGTTACAAAACCATCATTCAGTCCATTATACTATTAACATAAGTTATTCTTTCTATTGAGATAGTTGATATCTCAACTGAGATACTAGCAGTTTCTTTCATGAATTAAACGATTGTTTCATCATATTTGTAGACGTTTAGAATTGTATCTAAGATTCGTATAGATAATAATTTGTCTAGTGTAAATTAATGCACAAAATTTTATTTTTTATTCATTGTAAATATTGTATTTGATAATCGCATTTAAAGTACTTCAGGCTTTCATATAACATTTTTTGCTTCATTAATGGACGCGATTATTTCGAATAACGATTTGACGAACAATTAAATACGAAATAGTAACAATAAACTATGTTTTATAGTATTAATGATTTTATAAGTTAAAATATTTTTAAATTAAATATATTAATTAGATTTCACTGAAAATTGACGAATATCAATATATGAATGATTATTAATGTAATATTTAAAATATACTATTTTAAAACACGAACAAGAAATTTAAGAAAGAAAGCCCAGTTGGTTTAACTGAATGGCTCTCCTATTTAATTAAAATAACAAGAAATTCTTCAGTAAAACAAATATAATAACCTAATATATTTGTATGCGAATAACATGTCGCATAGAAAGTTGCCTTAACTATAGAGAACAAGAAAAACTACAGAACAAGATATTATCAAAAACGGAAACTTTAACCATGTTGGTCAATATGGAATCTCCGTGAAATAACTAGAAGATTGAAATTCCAAAATCAACATCGGTACAAGGTCCTGATTAAATAAAATGCTGTTCAGTACTGGAATCGATCTACTGTTACATCGATAAATTTATAATATTACGTTTCGACCTATGGCAGAAATCAAATAAAAACCGGCCTGTGAAACAATGAAATATAAAACAGTTCTTTTAAGGACTACAAGAAAAATTTATTGGAAGTTGTGCCATCTATTTTTCATAAAATTATAAAAAAAATCGATTAAATAGTTTATTACTATATTTTATGAAAATGTCTATATATATATATATCCTAACTTATAAATCACAATATAATTTAATAATAATAATAATAATAATAATAATAATAATAATAATATATATCTTCATATTTTTATTTATAATGTCAAATTTGAATATAAAATAAATCTAATAAAACTTTAATCTACACTGAATATGGCATTTTTTATACTAAATTATGATATCACTATAATAATAATTATTAAAATATTATCAGTATTATTTAAAAAATTTATGTTAATATAAAAAAAGGAAAATTCTAAAAACATTACCAATAGGAATGTACACTAAAAAATTACTACGAAGATTAAGACATCGGAGTCGAGGAAGATCGCCCACACGTAAGCGCAGACTCGTTATTTCATTACAACCAGCGTCAAGCTCTGCAAGAGCTGACATTCTTCCCAATTCTTCTGGCAACGAAACAAGCCTGTTGTGGGAGACCAAAAGGGTCTGCAAAGGTAGTTGACAAATTTCTCGTGGTAATGTTGTCATTTGATTACGACTGCGAAAATTAAAATAAATTAATGAACTAAGTAAATAAATTGAATAAATAAAATATATAAATTTACTAATATAAATAAAATTAATATGTTAACTAAATAAATAAAATAAATAAATTAACTAAATAAATAGAACAAACAAATTAGCTAAATAAATAGAATAAATAAGTTCACTAAATAAATACAAATTTAATAATGGTAGTCTGTTACGTTTATTATTATTTTGATAGTGAAGCATCTAATTTTACATTATCCTTAATTTTTGTATTTTTTGAAATCAAAATAATATTTAAAAATAAAACGCTGTTTCGAAAAAATACAATAGTATGGTAGAAAGAGAAAAATAAAGAATTACAGATTTTTCATTAAAATTAGAAATAACGTTTATATTTTTATCAAAAGAACATATAAACGAATTAAGTATTATTTTTATTGTATGCTTAGCTTATATACATATTAAAACAAAAATAGGATCCAAATTCTCAAAAATTTGACAAAAAAACTGTATTCATAAGAATCAATCAAAATGAAAATAAATATTAAAATGATGTTCACAAAGATTTGACTTTCAAAAAATGACTACAGTAACAAAATCACACAGTAATTTACCTGAGATCAAGATAGCTTAACGACTGGAGCATCGTTACCGTTTCTGGTATTACTTTTATTGCATTATGATATAGATGTAGTTTTTCAAGGAAAGGAAACTCTGTTATTTCTTCTGGTAATTCCATAAAACGATTTTTCGACAGGTCTATAATAAAAGTTGAAAAGATTCATTCTTATATTATCAATATCGAAATATTCTTCACGAAATAATCATAAATATTTATCAATTAATTTAATTAATGATTTTATTCATTACTGTAATAGTAAATGAATGAAATTAAAAATGGATAAAATTACATAAGCTACATTTACTTCGTAATATATATCACTGGTTAATGACAAAATAAGAAAGTGTGCTCGAAGCAAAATATTATAAATATAGAAAAAATCAAAAATCAAAAATACTGAGATAGTCTTTAAACCAAATAAAATTAATCAAAGACCCTAATAGGATATATTTTCCAGTTACGCTTTACATTATTTTTATAATCTATATGTTTTTCCTAATATCATTATTGAAATAAAATTAAAATAATTTTGGTTCAATTAAGAGACTAGGTAATTCTTTCACATCCAGAAATCCAGTTTAAAGCTTTTTAATACTTTTTTTATTACAAAATTTGTTGCACTAGATTAATTAAAAATTTATAATTTATTTTGAAAATATGGAAAATTAATAATATATTTTGTTCAATCAAACGTAACAAAAAATTCAAAAATTAGTTTTCATTACAAAATTATAACTCAGTAGATATGCATGAGCTTCAAAACATTTTTATATTAAATTTATTAAATGTCGGTAATTTTCATTTTATCTAAAGTAGTAATAATTAAACCATTTTTATTAAACCATCAAACCAATAAACGTTAATTTATATAACATTATTATATTCCATTTTCTATTATATTCCAGTTTCCTAAATTTCGTATGTTATATTTACAGAAATTGTTTAAATATTTATTAGGAAACTTATTTTCAATTTTATATAATTTTAGTAGCTAGTATTTGTGTTAAATAGTAATGTCTACTTTTTTATGTAACGCAGATATATCGGTGCAGCTTTATATAACAATATAATTAATTTATTTTATAATGCATTTGTAACTATCTTTAAGATTTTTTATTTAAAATCAACGACAATGGTAATGTTATGGATTGAAAAAGTTGAAAAGTTAAATACAAAAGTGGGAGAGGTATGAGCGCGTAATTCAATTGTTTATAAACAATAGCCAACGAACTTCCAAGGCTACTGGCGCCTAATAACTAGCGCTATAATATTTAAGGGCTGCGCTTCACGCGCAGCGCCGAGTCTTTGTCCCAGTCTAATCTAGTAACAATTACACAGTCATTATAACGGGCGCACTATTTAATCTTCAAGCTTCTCTCTACAGTCATCACTCACTGTAGCGGTACACGTACGTAATGCTCAACTAGTAAACAATCTAATAAACCAATAGTCACGCCTCATTATCAGAATCTGTTAATTAAACTTAAGACTAATAACGCGCTAGTGCTAACATAAATTGAGAGTGAAAATATCGAAATCATACTACACATATTAACGGATCACACCGAAGACTAAGGCAGCAGAAAACCGGCCCCCTTTAGAAAGCTTTGATACGACAGAGACAGCTCTTACGCAGCTACACTATAGCAGCAGCGACCCATTTTCGCTTAGATGACTTCGATACAACAGTGGCGGCTCTCACGCATACTACGACTGCATCGACTCCTCACACCACGGAGAGGATACACACTCTCCTCAGCACATAACACAATTGAAGAAACTCACTTACACCTTCATTCATACGCTTCATGATCATTAATGATTTATTATATTATTATATTTAATAAAAGAAAAGACAAGAAACACTACAAGTAGTATTGAATTATTGCATTGTCCCTTCCACTTGCCAGCAACGCCTCCACCCACCATCAAAGGGAGGTTTTAAGTCTGAATTTATTGTTTGTTAAAATACGATTCCAATATAGCAACGAACGAAGAAGAAAAGAGTCTTGTTGAACTAGTGCTAGTTCAACTTCTTGAAACTAGTGCTAGTCATATCTGTGAAAGTCGAACTCGTCTGCAGGAATTCGTGCAAGGTATATTATTATTGCTGGCCAGCTATCGATATTACTCATACTTGTCGTAAACCCTCGCCTATTTCTCGTGACCGTTCCCTGGCCTACGTCAAACCTATCGTATTTATTAATAGACCCGGTCTAATTCTCGTTAGCAGGGCGAGACCTTACCGATCATGCCACCCGGGACAAACGTTTCATGATCATTCGCGGCCCACGTCTACTGTATCAGAAAGGCCCTCCGACTTTATTATTATCAGACCGCTAAAGAGGGCGCCGATCCTGACAGTAGATCCCTGCCTAAGTCTAAAGTTAGTACTGCGAGACATTACCGGTCACGCCACAACAAAGTGGTTTTGATCAAACCAAAAAAGAGGGTGACAACTATTCGTAATAATCCCCACCACCGCCACGAGCCGAATATCACTTAGTTTATTCCAATGTCGAGTCAAACGCCTAATCAGTTGCGAGCCGAATCTCGCTTGGTATGATTCGAGCGTCGCCGTAAGCGTCGAAGCTCCGCGAGCCGACTAATGCCCAATATAATTCAAGCGTGACTCACACGACACATGACGGTCGAATAAGAAAGACTCCGTTGATTTATACGCTAGAACCCGGAATTATTACCTTACGAAGCTTGCACTCCCAGACGATGTTTCGACTTAATAATCAGCTGTCTAGTCACTACATTCGACAATTCTCATCACAATTAAGAATACCCACAATACTGTAAAAAATACTTAAATAGAGGTCACTAAAACCAATTGTGTTTGCTCTGAGTCGATGCATTAACCCCTCACCTATCCCCTCTCCCATCACCGTTAAACCGGTGGTACGGTTTAATCCACCCGCCGTGTTCTGCTATCATACTGGTGGCTGGAATTCCAAACAGTATTCAATGACTGACTTAAATTTATTTGATGTTTTTTAAATAAAGAGCAAAACAAAATATTCGAGTTTGTATTGCTTTGTACATTGTTTTGTATCATACATAAACATAACATTTTCTAATGGTATTCTTGAGTACTTCAAAGAGAGTATCGTATAATGTACCATATAAAAAATAGTTTTTATTATTTCAAAGCTTATAATACTTATCCTTAAAATTAACATAACAGCATTGTTATAAATAAAACATTGTGTTAACAGTAATTTGACGGAGTTCGAATGCTAATAAATTTTCTTTTAGAATAACTATTATCTATCAAACAATTATTAAGTATGTACAATCAAATTCCTATCATTTACGTGCAAACAAAATACTTTGTGTCACAAAATGATTCACTTGTGTGTGCTAACATACCGATTATGTACTTTCACCTAAATAATTGAGGTAGTCGAAAAATATTTCTTAGTTTTATTCATGTTCTAACTTCAGCGACAAAAACATAGTTCCTAAAATTTTTAAAGAGTTGAGGCTGCTAGTATATTTATCTATAATGACATGTTGTTGCCATTAACTCTATTATCAATATAAAATTCCAAATGGAATTAGCACCCTATTGATACCCAAGAAATTTAATGTATCCTAATTAATAACTTCACTATACCTGCCGATAATGATACTTCACTCCAATATTTTTAATACTAGACATAATCTCATCTAGTTAATAGACTAAAGAAACTCAGCAAAGACTTGATATAGTGTAAAATGTACGCACTTTTGTAAATACATGGGTCATACTTGGAAATAAAAATGCATCGCTGCAATTACAAAAAAATTAATAATAGTATCGGGTAACATATTCTTCGACATCTAGCTAAATCGGCTTAAACTACTTCATTAACACTTAGTGAATTTCGATGACAAATCTTCGAACACACAATTACAACACATCAAATTAAAGGAGCTAATTTGATTTGAGCTTATCAATGCAAATTATGTTTATGCTATATTATATTAGAGATATACCCATAGTGCAATAATTTGCTTGATTTAATATATCGGACTCTCAATGTAGTTCTATTGTATTACAATTAAGATTCTTTGATACCAAGCAATATCTATTCCATTTGACTCATACAGATAACTTTCAAAGAGCATTCTGCTTGTATAATCGAAAATATTTTCAAAATCCTACTGAGAATACTCATCATATTCTTCATTCCATAGGAAACTCGCATGAATCGAATTCATTTTTGACAGACTATTATAAAAATATTAACATCCTCGGAATGAGAGATCTATACGTTGGTCGGCAGTATTTTATGTACTAAGTTCAATGCATAAACCACTACAGACGCTGTACATAAATCCACACTGTCAACAGACTATTATTAGTAGCGTTTACATTATATATTGTATTGACCATTAATTTTTAATTACTATTATCATTTTTTTGTACATAACTCATTATAAATACTAGTTATTATTAAAATAAGAATAATATATATAGTAACTTATTTGATAATTATTAACAATTAGTGAAATATTTATATTCATTTGTAATGAAAAATTACATTATTCCATCTATACCTATTAAAATATATCACGTATTATTCTAATGTATAGTTGGTGTTTAGAATTAGACTATGGCCACCAGTTTCCTGATGGGAGAAAAGTGTGGGTAAGTGGAAGGAGTAACGCTTCAATTCAGTATTTAATACATTTGCTTTTCGTGCTTGTTATTGTGTTTATTTTACAACTACAATATAATGATTCTACGTTGATCATGAGAATCGTTGAGATCTTGCCGTTCCTTGGTTGTTGTCCTGTCGTGTTAGCATGCACTACTTATAGAGGTAGGTCTTCAATCTCCGGATCCTCTTGTTGCAGTACGCTTGATGGTGAGGTAATACACTGAGAAATGAGAGGTCGTAAATCTCTTGACACTTGTTCGTGTAGTGCCACGTGGTGGTAATCTGATTGCTGGTCTCCTCCAAGATGTCTTGTGATATGGGAGGGTGAGAAAATGGTTCGATACCTTGATGTAGCGTCGGATGGTGTTGCTTGTTCTGACTTATGGAAGCGACTACTTGAAAGAATGTGCGATTGCACCGAGTATGAGAAAGACCTGCAATAGCTTCGTGCTCTGGGCACTGTGTATGAAATTCTACCTAATATGAAACTGTTACTAGTAGCTTCTATAGCGGCATAAACACATTTGGCGAAAACATGCCATTAAGCATCCGACGAAAACAAGTCATAAACACAGTTGGCGAGAACAAGTCATAAAGACGGCTGGATGACACATACCGAGATGTTTCACTCAAAAACCGCGCTACATCTAACCTTTACCACTCTTACGGTACATAGCGCGCATGATCATGAAATTTACTTACGACGATACTAGGATGGAGAGGAAAGAGCGCGTCAAGAAGTTCCCACCATGGAGGGGATTCGAGTAAGACCCGCTCTCATTGGAGCCTCCATCATGAAAAAGATGTACTGATGGGAGACGCCACCACTTAAGAGGCATTCTGATTGGAGACGCTATAAATGACAGGAATGCTATGATTGGAGACGCCAAAAAGGAGCGAATTCTCAAAAACGACCGCATGGCCGAGAGAATGCTTTTAAAAGAAGATGCCGGCAAGGCACAGCCGCTTTTCGGCTAAGAACAGCTAAGTAAACGTACACAGACAATCAGAAGGAACTAAAACCAGATAATAACACTGAAATTGTTCAACTCATAACAAGTGTAAGATAAATAAACATATACTCTCAGCAGTGCAAGAGAAGGAAAAGGGAACAAGGAATAATAGTTCGGACAGAATACATAATCATAACTTACAAGGAGCTGCTCAAGGCAAATTCAGTTCAATACGAGACATAGCCAGCAAAATACAACGTACAAAACTAAGAGGTAAAAAGTTCCATTCCGAATTAATGAATAATTATAAAGGGCCGTACGCGGCCAAATCTGCATACAAGAATTAAGCGCCACTAGGACAACCTGCAGAGCCTAATAAGAAAGCAAATTCAAGCCACCGCCATATAGACGACCAGAAAAGTTACGACCTTCTACCTATACATGCAACGCATATTAGTGCTCCGTGGCAATAGTAAATAAAGCATCAACTAACCAAAATATTCAAACATCAAATTAAGAATTATTATAACACAATTTATTATTGAATAGATAATTATTGAATAGATGCACTACCCTGTCCACTAGCTCGCAATCCTCCCACCAACTATCTAGGAGTTTTCCTCTAACTATATATATTTAGCCCTCCTAAACCGGTAATCTATTTTTAGACATTATCAATTACTTAAAATTTTAATTAGAAATTTATATTGCAAAAAAATTTATAAAATAAATTTATTCTAATATTTAAGCTTATAAATAAATTTATAATATTATTTCAAAAAATATATAAAATAGTATTCATAAAAAAAAAGATTTTTGTCTGTGAGTAATAAAAAAAAAAAATTTACTAGTTAAAACATTTGGATTGAATTTCCCAATATATAGAATATAAAATACGCATCCAATTAATTATATCAAGCTTTTAATTGTTAATAATTATATACTTTGGATCTATTCAAAACATTCTATATAAAACAAAATTTGATTTTAATTTTCAAAACTACTTTTTCAATTATTTCAAATCAATTATATCAATTATATAAATAAATCTACTTAAAACTAATATAAATTTATGTTTAATTGAAATTGTATATATTACAATTTTTAATATTTAATGAAACATAAATTTATAATCGATTTTGTAAAATTTGCATTTCATTAATCTTACATATAATTTATAATTTTATAAATACTCAGCTATACAAATATACCAAGTTACGTATGTACACAAAACAAAAATATCAAACTTTTATAAAATAGTATAAAAAAAAATGTATATACATAAATACCTATTTATATTATGAAACAATTTTCTTTAAAGCTTATACTAATGAGAATCAATATTATATTAGTGTTATAAAAAATTTAATGGATGCTGTATAAAGTATTAATTAGGAAACAAAATCGAATTTAATATATATATTTATATAGACTATACAAAAAATATAAAAATATAAATATAAAAATTGAATTATTAAATATAATTAAATTATTTAGACAAGAAATATTTTTATAAAAATTTTAGACAAATATTTTTTTGAATAAGACTATATTAAAAATATTTTTAATAAAGAAAATATTTTATAAATTAGTATAAGGCAATCGAATAAATGAATTTTTACATCTAAATTTTCATATATCCTTTATAAAGCTAATTTTAATTTTTATCTTACTAATTTTTTCAATAACTATTATTTATTAAAATTGTAGCTGTTTAAATTATAAGATATTTCGTTATAAAAATGAAAGAAATATAAATTTTGTATAAATTTTATTTAATTTTTCAATTAGTATATTACATAGTTAAATTTTTATTTCATTTGTAGTTTTCTATACATAAAAAATATATAAAGATCACAGAATTTAATTGTCAGTAAAAATATGTAAATGACATTATATATATTACTTAATAAAAATTATATCCCTAGAATTCTATTACATAAAAAAAAATGATAAATTCTATTGTCAGTAAAAAGTGTAAATATATGTAATTTAATCAATAAATCAAGATTATACGTTAATATTATAGAAATTAAATATAAAATGAAAAAATGTACACATATAAATAATATTAATAAAAATACTTACCTGCTAATACAGTGTCTTTAAGATTATATTTAATAGAACCAAGAGCTTTGCCTACTTTTGGAAAGTCTTTCAGCTTTCGACCACTCAACTTGAGTTCGCCACTATGGTGAGCCTCTTCAAGTATTCGTTCAAGACTCCTAGTGAGTTGTTTTTGTATATGTCCACTCATGATTTACCTAACTACAATAATATTACATAATTTCTCTTTGTTCAGTTTATTATTATAAATGTTTCACAATTTTCTATTGATAGTTGTAAACATATACATTACTTTCATAATCATTCAAAATATTCAATAATAATATTCAAGATTTAAGATATTGTCAACCATATAATAGAAGACTAACTTACAATTGAACGAAGAATATTGAATACTGTTTGTGCACATGCGCATTATAACTGATTAACTGTAAGTGCGCACAATATGAATATTAAATTACATTGACGTTTCGAACAGTAGCAATAAGGGAAATACTAAAATGCAATATTTGGAGGTTCGAATAAAAAATCTCATGCTCAAAGTATATCTATGAATTATTTGTACATTGTTTTCCGTTACCTAAAACAGTAATTATAGATCAATAAGTACGATGAACTCGTTTTTTTTTTAACAAATTCCATATAGTTCCAGAAACTATCATTCACAGAATTTTTACTGTTATTGAGTATTATAAATACCAAAAGTATATATAATATACTTTTCAATGTAAATATATTTTTAAATCATATTTTAGCTCTTTCCTTAAAATAAATTAAAAAAATTACTATATTAAAAATTATATATATATATATATATATATATATATATATATATATAGTGTTTTCAGATTATTTCAATTTATTATTAAATATCCTTGTCTGATCACCAAATAACCTTTCTAGACTTTATGTAATATAGTTATTGTACCCTCTTTCAATATTTATTTTACGTTTTGAATTCCTACAATAAAATAGTTTGAATTTTCCTAAGATGGCGCTAGCATATAGAATACATATTTTTCAAAAATTCAGATTCCTAATATTGAACAAAATGGTAACTAAATCACTTCCAGTCTCCGCAAACAATTTCTACTACCTTTTTTTATAACTACTTTGAATACTTATACACATTGTTCAGGCGAATCATAAATAAGATAATTTTAGGAATTAATACCCAATAATTAAGTAATTAAAACATTGTAGTTTTTGGATGGATTAAATTTTGAATATAGGTAATTTTTTTTAAATAAATACAAATGAAAATTTATATTACTTTGATAAAAATTTCATTATTTAAGCTTTTTCACAATCTTATTAATCGATCAAGAGTTATATTTAAAATGGTTTATGAGTATTATTACTACCAGTAAGTAAATATTTCTAATAGCATACTTAGATTTGCCATTTTTCAGTAGTCAGAAATGACAGAAATCACGAAAATACTATTTTCACATCCTATAACGAATGAGCATCATTGAAACACTTTTCACTACATTTTTTAAACACATTTCAAGTTGCATTGCCAACATTATATCTTAATATGAGTTTATCTATATCTTTTTTAACTAGAATTTTCATTATTAGAGTTGATTTATTCAAATTTATTTGATATATTAGATTTGAAAAGAATTTTTAAGAAATATGAGTATAAATAAAGATATATTGATTATCATAAAAGATTATATATTAACAGAAGAAAGTTTCTAACCTTCGCAGAGGTATACGAATATATATACATATCAGAAGTTTCAATTCAATCAATTACAACAGTAGTTGGAGTAATAGATTAAAGTTTTACAAGATTTATATCTAGTATGTAAATAATGTTTTTATTAAAACTAAGTACTAAACATAAAACTATATATTAAAGAAAAACCAATCATACGAAAAGTAGTAATATTAAATAATTACAAAATGTATAATAGATTTAAGCAGAGTTTACGATCGTTACAATATAAACAAGTATCAATTTTTTGCTTTAAAAAAAAAAAGTTTAATTATCATTCAAAATATAGCTCTTTCATTCAATAAATTCAATTCTTTATTATAAAAATAGAATGTTTTAATCATATTTTTCTTATTTATATTTTATAATACGTTTGCTTAGTCTAGACAATTAATAATTCCAATTCGTATTTTTAATGGTCTTCAAATCAAAATAATGTATTTTAGAAATAGACAAAAAATTCTATAGTTATACACATTAGAATAATTCTTTTAATATAACTTTTTATAAAAACAGAATGAAAAACGTTAATACAAGAATATTAATATGTAATTAAAATAATACTCATAAATTGGATAGGTCCAATTAAAAAAAATATAATATTAAGGTCAAAAAAGGATTTTAAGCTTATATAAAATAGTAATATCGTTAAATTCATCTTCGTACTAAAAATGTATTGTTTCAAAATATAAAATAAAATTTTCTAAATACAATAAAGATTTGAAACATTAAATAATAAAAATACTATAATTTAAGTAAGTGATGAGAATAACACAATTACATTTAATAAATAAATCAGTATTAAAGTATATTTTGAAGCTACTGCAAACTGTTAACTGCGTAATTATTGAAAAACATAAAGTGCTTTATACGTTTTAAGTACACTAATGAATATTAAATTTTTTCGTGTTTTGTTAAATTAATAATATGTAGATTTAATAATAATAAACATAGTACAAATAATAATTTAAAATAACTTAGGTTAATTTATATTTTTTCTTAGTTATAATTTTCAAAAACAAAATATGAAATAATTAACTGTTTGAAATCGTTATTAATTTATAATTTAACATATTTTACTTGATAAAAGAACTATTTTTTATTGATCATTGATTTACATACATTGTTATCCATACTAGGCATTCTACAAGGTAGTCACAACTGACTATGGGTAAATATAATAAGTTAGTAAAAATTACAACTTACATTCAAATCTATATATATCTTTATTTCAATAGATGATTCATTATTTGAATTAAGAAATACAGGAAGTTTCTTGTTAACTGGATGCCCAAAATTAGACAACTTTCTAAGAGGTGGTATATGTCGAAAAGGTATAACACAAATTTATGGTAAATCTGGAATAGGAAAAACTCAATTGGCTCTTCAATTATGTATTACTGCACAAATTTCATCAGATAATTTTAATGATTTTGGAGGTATGAATATATTTTAATAATATATAAATATATTTTTGTTCAAATCTAAATATTTCTAGGAGCTGCATATATTTGTACAGAATCACCATTTCCTTCAAATCGGTTACATGAGCTAATTAATAAAATTAATTTAAAAACTAAGTATCCTATTTCAAATGAAATGATATTTATTGAACATATTTCAAACAGTGTAAGAATAAAATAATATAAATATAAATTTTATAATTTATTAATTAAATATACCATGTATTGTATTTTAAGGAAGATTTAAAAAATTGTATTTATAATCCTAGAAGACTTCCAAATCTCTTGTCTCATTATAACATCAAATTACTTGTAATAGATTCCATTGCTGCTACTTTTAGAGTTGAATATGATTCGGTTTATTTGCAAAATAGAGCTAAGAGCTTAAGAAATATAGGTTATCGATTACAAAAATTATCAAGCATTTATAACATGGCTATTATTTGTATTAATCAAGTAATTTATTATTTTTATATATTCATTTATAAATACACAAGAATTAAAAAATTAAAAATTATTTTATAGGTAACAGCCCTTGTAGAAACTAGTTCAATAAATGTTTCAACTACAGAACTACCTTCTCTTGGAATAACCTGGGCTAGTATGATTACAAATTCTTTATATATGTTCAGACAAAATGGACATCGCTTTCTACATATAACAGGATCACCTTATTTACCATGCCAAACGATCGAATATGAAATACTTGATTCGGGTATTATTGTTAAAAATACATAAAAAAAATTTTTTTTTAAGTATTTAAAGTAAGTTCTTTTATATCAGAAAATGCACTTTCATCTAAAATTCGTAAAATTTTTGATGGTTTCCACTGATTTTGGGAATTAGATGAAGTAAATGGATCAACTGATCTTACATCTAAATATTCCACAGTATTATTTATTGTTAATCTAAAAATAATGCATGATATTCTCTTATAAGTCATAAGTATTGTATTTATTATAATTTACTAATAAATTTATTGTAATTTAATGAATTCAAAAGAATGAATGAAATATTTCATAATTATTTTTTATTAATGTACCTTAATGCATGAAGAAAAGTTCTATAAGGTTCAGTATCAGTTTTTTCACTGTAAGTATAATCTCCTACAATTATATGTCCTATATGTGTACAGTGTACTCTCAGTTGATGTCTTCTTCCAGTTACAGGGTACAATAAAATTTTAGTAACTGCTTCCTTATTTCTATAACCTTTTTCAAGAACTAACAATGCAGTACATGATTTCTGTGGTTTTTTACAAAAGTTATTATCAATTGTACACATTTTACGGTTTCCATTTACTTCTCTGAGATCATTTCCTGTATAACAATATTCTTATATTAATATGTTCATACCCAAATATTTAAGTTGTTTTATTTAAAAATTTTATTATTCTACCTTTCACTTCATTTACTTACCAATAAGTACATTAATTATCATTGAAGGCTTATTAATATGACCATGGACAAGAGCTAAATAATATTTTTCTACCGTCCTTTTTTGAAAAGATGTTGAAGCAGCTCTAGCTGACTGTTTATTTAATGCAATACACATTACCCCACTTGTTACATAATCTAGCCGATGAACAAAATAAAATTCATGATATAAGTTTGAATTGATTAAATTTGGTAACATCCTCCGTATTTCCATTTGAACACTTGCCTATAATATATTTAAATATTTTTTTAAATTAATTTTATAAATAAATAAAAATATAATTAATAACAAAATACTATAGAAATATTGAATCAATTTAATTTTATACCTTTACACTAGGACTATTGCTGTTTATTACCAAGTCATATGGTTTATTTATAACTAAAAAATGTTTACTATGATGTAATATTTTTACACTATTGTACTGAGTTTTTTTTTCCACAATTTTCTTAATTGATTCATAAATAAAATCACTGACAATTAAAAATATTCGTAATATTAATAGCATTTTACATCTAAATGTATTCCAAATATTCTAGGCTTTATATATATATGTATATATGCATATATGTATGCATGTGTGTATATATATATATATATATATATATATAAATGAAATAAATTTTTCATAATAACCTTACTTATATATTATAAATTGTAAGATTGTAAATTGTAAATATTAAGATGTAAGATAAATTTTACTATGAGAAAAGATATATACATACAAAAAAAGAACTTTCATCACCAAACAATATATACGATATGTGCTAATTAATTTAAATAATTTTAAAATATTTTATTTTTTCGGTACCTAATTTTTCACTCAACAAAACCATTACATAAAGTTATATATTATTTCCTTGTACATCTACCTGTATATTTTACTATATGCTACATTTATTTTAATTAATCATATACTAATTTTATTTTTCATTTAATTGTTTTTTTATTTTATAAAAATCAGTAATTTTGTAATATAAAATTAATTTTAATTGTAAATGTATTAAAACTTATATGTACCAAATCCTAAGAAAACGTAAACTGGATGGCATGCACATTTTCATTCTATAGAAGTTCAATATCAGATCGTACAATGTTACACATACATGATTGGCCATTAGATAGCATATCATGTTGCATCCAGCATGTTTGTATATACGGCGAGTTTTTAATCTTATGTTAAATCAAAGTTAAATAAAAAAATATATATTTTACAAATAATTTGATGTTTTTATTATTTAATTTTTATTTAATTCTATGTAATATTACATAATCAATACTAGTATCGCTATATTTGTATATAGCTCTTATTTTATACTGAGCATGGGTGTTCGGGATTGAAGCAGTCCCATGAATTTCAAACAAAAGAAAGGTCATTTACGCAGTCCGGCGTACCGCATGTGCGCCTAGACTGACCGCATGTGCGCCTAGACTGGCCACCACGTGCGCCTAGGCTGATCCGCACGTGCGGACCGAGGCGGGTACTCGAGAAAGATGTTTACAAACAAAACTCGGCAAGTCCGAGCAAGTTTACGATTTGAGATATTATTTACTGCCAGCACTCACAAAAAAGGGACGCCTTCGAAACTTCTAGAAGCTTCGTTTTCTCACGCCAAAGGAAAATTTCTGGAAGGGACGCGCATCGACACTGTTGCCGGCGCTGAAGACGCCGCATGCACATTTAAGCGCAACGCGCCATGAGGCGAAGCTCATTCGTAAATTCACTCCGCTCTCAATCAAGCGTAACTGCCGGTCAGTGCAAGTATACTGTAAAGACGCCGCGTGGCCACATTTTCGACAACATAAGCTCACTCGTAAAGT